GAGGTGGGTGGAGGAGGGGTGTCTGACTCTTCCACTCTGGCTGCACAAGCCACAAGACCAAATAAGGGTGTGCAAGCCGCCAGAGTCCGTATTAAAGTTCAGAGTGCAGTGTGCGAATGTGGGACTGGGTTTTCAGAGATATAAGCTATTACCTAACCCTACTTGAGCTCCAGCACAGCGCAGACAGACATAACTGTCTGCCTTTGTACTGGGCTGGGTCTCAGGGAAGAAGGTCCCCTGGGGTCCTGGAAAGGGAGAGGAGAGAAGGGGGCTTCCCTTGTGTGCATCTGGTGACTGAAGAAAGGGACTGATCCCCCCCTCTGAAGCTTTCCCCAGAGCATTTCCATGGCTCTGCTGACCCAGCTTTAAAGAGTGCCAGCCAGGGTGAGTCATTAGACTGTGCAGGAAAGGTCAGAGTTTGAAGATACTCCCCAGTAGAAAACAAACGTTATTTTTATGAACGCTCACAGGCTGTGAGGCAGGCTTGTTTACTGAACACTGAGGTCAAGGGCGGGGCTGGAAGTCTGGGGCATTTTTCAACAATTTTAACACTGTGTTTCCCAAATCTCCACTCTAACCCCAAGGGCTTGTCAAGCTTGTATACATCCAACCAACTAGCTTGTTGGCAAGTGACCGCTTCCCTCTGCAGTGTTTGAAGGCTACCAAAATACCAACCTTTTTCTCTTTGGAGGTTTCAAAGCCAAACCTCCTCACATACTCCTCTCTCCTTTCCATGCCAGATTCTCTCTCCTTTAGCAGGTATCCAGCTCTCACCCCACTCAGTCATAAGCTTCCTAAGGAAGGGGACCATGACTTATATCCATATTTACCTCTGAAACTTAGCTCCATGGTTAGTACAGTGAGTACTTAGTCCAGGTTAGAAATACGCATAAGCTCTGGGAAGGTGGATCAGTGGTAGAGTGCTCGCCTCGTATGCACGAGGCCTTGGGTTCAATTCCTCAGCACCACATACACAGAAAAATCCAGAAGTGGCACTGTGGCTCAAGTGGTAGAGAGCTAGTCTTGAGAAAAAGAAGCTCAGGGACAGTACCCAGGTCCTGAGTTCAAGCCCCAGGGCTGGCAAAAAAGAAAGAAAAGAAAGAAAAAAGTTTCAGGGCTAGGAAGGTGGCTCAGTAGTAGAGTGCTTGCCTTGCATGCATGAGGCCCTGGGTTTGATTCCTCAGCACCACGTAAGCAGAAAAAGCTGGAAGTGATGCTATAGCTCAAGTGGTAGAGTGCTAGCCTTGAGCTGAAGAGTCAGGGACAGTGCCCAGGCCCAGAGTTCAGGCCCCACGACTGAAAAAAAAAGAAAAAATAAAAGAAATATGCATAAGCCAGGTTCCTGTCTATAATTCTAACTACTTAGGTATCTGAGATCTGGGGATCCAAACTAACCCAGGCAGAAATGTCTATGAGACTCGTATTTCTAATTAGCCACTAAAAAGCCAGAAGTGGTACTGTGGCTGAAGTGGAAGAGCTCTAATCTTGGGCAAAAAAGCTAAGTGATAGTACCTAGGCCTTGAGTTCCAGCCTTAGTACTGGCACGTGTGTGTGTGTGTGTGTGTGTGTGTGTGTGTTGTTTCAGAGTCTCCCCCAACCTCCAATTTTGCTCCCTTTCACCCCCACCCTCACAACTTGGGTTCCTGACACCCCTACTTCCAGATGCTGTAAGGCATCTGAATGACCCCAGTGTCCACCGACAAACCTTTGCTTCAGCTTTGCTCTGTTTCACTTGCTTTCTGCCCAGGGTTCCTCAGAGTCTTGACTACTCAAGTGTGCTCAGCCCTGAATTTCACATAATGACTACCTGTGGAGAAAAATGCTTCCTTTTTTCTCCTGGCAAGGAGGACAGTTCTAAGATATTTTTCATGCACCTTTTAGAGCATCCCATGGGATCACCCAGCCAGCATCTGCAGTTAGAACCAAGTCAGTAAAACTGGCTTTCCCTTTCCCTGCTTCCCTCCCTTCAGCTCCTCATGGCCCACATTCCCCAGAACTGCTCACTGAGGTTAGGCCTTTGTCCTAGGCTCTGCTTTCCAGGAAGCTGAGGCTAGAATCTTGGGAGACTTGAATACATTCAGAGCCCTTTATGTAGAAGTTCTCACAGACATCTTGTTTTCAAAGTTTAATTTCTTTGTATGTATTTTCTTTTTCCTATGAGTCTTACTCTTTAAGAAAACAAGCAGGGGCTGGGAAGGTGGCTCAGTGGTAGAGTGCTTGCCTTGCATGCATGAGGCCCTGGGTTCGATTCCTCAGCACCACATAAGCAAAAAGAAAAAAGCCGGAAGTGGCGCTGTGGCTCAAGTGGTAAAGTGCTAGCCTTGAGCTGAAGAGCTGAGGGACAGGCCCCACGGCCGGACCCCAAAAAAAAAAGAAAACAAGCAAAATTCAAGTTTAGAGACTTGAGAGGATTAATTCGTTGTACTTTTAACCTTCCAAATCTCATGTGTATCTATGCTTTCTTTGCTTTTACTCTGAACATGCTGCAACAATTCTGTATTAGCTTTAACATTTTTTCATAAGCCACAATTCAGAAGTTAGAGAAATTGCTCCCTGGTGGTAAAGCAACAGAACTGCTGACCTCTTTCTGCTCTAATTACAGTGAATACAGTATCTCTGCTGCTCTGACTTCAGTGTTTAAGCTTCTCTATTTCCTTAGGATAAAATTCCAGCAGTACAGGATCATAGGGCACACATAATTGCATATGACCAAGTTGACTTATTGTAGCAATTTAAACACCTGCCAGTGGTATGGTAGTTCTCCTTACCTGTGCCCTTCTCCAAACAGACATCTTGCTTCAATATTGTGTTTCTTTACTTTTTTTTTTGGTCAGTTGTGGGGCTTGAACTCTAGACCTGGGCGCTGTCCCTCAGCTCTTCAGCTAGCGCTCTACCACTTGAGCCACAGCACCACTTCTGGTTTTCTGTTGGTTTATTGGAGATAAGAGTCCTAGGAACTTTCCTGCCTGGGCTGGCTTTGAATCGTGATCCTCAGATCTCAGCCTAGTGAGTAGCTAAGATTACAGGTGTGAGGCACCAGCACCCAGTTCTTTTTATTTTTAGCTGGGCCTGAACTCAGGGCCTGAACTCAAGTGTTCCTGTACTCCTTTTTGCTTAAGGCTATTGCTCTACCACTTGAGCCACATATTTCTTGCTTTTTTGGTGATTATTTGGAGCTAAGAGTCTCATGGGATGGCTTTGAACCTTAGTGGTTAGAGATAAGAGTCTGATGGGGGCTGGGAAATGGGGCTTAGTGGTAGAGTGCTTGCCTAGCATGCATGAAGCCATGGGTTTGATTCCTTGGTGCCACATGCACAGAAAATGCCAGAAGTGGCACTATGACTCCAGTGGTAGAGTGCTAACTTTGAGCAAAAGAAGTTCAGAGACAGTGCCCAGGCCCTGAGTTCAAGCTCCAGGACTGGCAAAAAATAAAAATAAATTGCATCATCTATAAATTAGAAATTGGTTCTACTATAAATACCAGAAAACGAAAACTGTGGTAAGAGCCAGCATACTGTTTGGGATGGTATGATGGCTTAGTCACCATATCCCTCAGGGCCTGAGTCTGTTTTGTTGTTGTTTTTTGTTTTGTTTTGTTTTTTCTTTGTCACTCAGTTGCTCTGCCTTTCAAGCCTAAGATTACTTCATGAATAAAAATGGCTACTCTTTTTCTAATTAGTGTGTACAAATTCCAGCCATCAAAGAGAAGAAAAAGAAAAACAGGGAAAGGTCATTCACCAACTGTCTCTTAAGTAAAAGGCTGAAGGCTGACTCCAACACTCCTGTTTACATTCAAACCAACAAAGCAAATCGGAGCAGGATTGTTTCTCTATCAGAGAAAAGAAACTGGGCAGAAAGTTATTATTTGGGCCCAGACCTTGGAATTTTGAGCAAAGAACAACTTACATAGTTGATGTGAAAGGAGTCACTTTTCCCACATTTATCTGCTTGAAATTTTCAATTTTATATTCCCTCAAAAATAAAATGTTGCCTGGCACTGGTGGCTCACACCTATAATCCTAGCTACTCAAGAGGCTGAGAAGCCGGGGCGCTGGTGGCTCACGCCTATAATCCTAGCTACTCAGAAGGCTGAGATCTGAGGATCGCGGTTCAAAGCCAGCCCGGGCAGGAGAGACCGTGAGACTCCTATCTCCAGTAAACCACCAGAAAACCGGAAGTGGTACTGTAGCTCAAGTGGTAGAGCGCTCGCCTTGAGCTGAAGAGCTGAAGGACAGCGCCCAGGCCCAGAGTTCAAGCCCCACGACCGACAAAAAAAAAAAAAAAAAAGAGGCTGAGAGCTGAGGATCACCATTCAAAGCCAGCCTGGACAGGAAAAGTCCACAACACTTTTTTTTTTTTTTTGATTGGTTGTGGGGCTTGAGCTCTGGGCCTGGACGCTGTGCCTCAGTTCTTCAGCTCAAAGCAAGCGCTCTACCACTTAAGCTACAGCGCCACTTCTGGTTTTCTGGTGGTTTATTGGAGATAAGAATTTCATGGACTTTTCTGCCCAGGCTGGCTTTGAACCATGATCCTCAGATCTCAGCCTCCTGAGTAGCTAGGATTACATGCATGAGCCACCAGCGCCTGGCCTGTGACACTCATCTCCAATGAACCACCAGAAAACCGTTAGTGGTGCTACGACTCAAGTGGTAGAGTGTTTGCCTTGAGCTGAAGAGTTCAGGGACAGCGCCCAGGCCCAGAGTTTAAGCCCCACAACTGACCAAAAACAAAGAACTATGATGTTTTCTTTTTTGTTGGTCATGGGGCTTGAACTCTGGGCCTAGGCACTGTACCTCAGCTCTTCAGCTCAAGGTTAGTACTCTGCCACTTGAGCCACAGCACCATTTCTGGTTTTCTGAGTGGTTTATTAAAGATCAGAGTCTCTTGGACTTTCCTGCCCTGGCTGGCTTTGAACTGCGATCTTCAGATCTCAGCCTCCTGAGTAGCTAGGATTACAGGCGTGAGAAGAGGTGTTCTAATTGTGCTTCTCACTTACAGGGACTTCCCTGATGACCCAGGAGTGCAGTGGGACACGGAACGTGTGGCCAGCATTCTCCTCCAGTACATAGCAGTCAATGGTATCAACTTGGTAAGGGGACACCTCCCTGAATGGAAAGCCCAGGGTCTCCTACCTATCCTACCAGTTGGTTTCTACAGATCAGTCAGTACTAGAGTGTCTCAACTCCTGGCCTGTCCCATCAGATACAACTGGTAGTACACAGGTGAGATTAATATCGGAAAGGATGCCATCTATAAAGTGTCCAAAACTTTCAGGGCTCTCTAGTCAATCTGTTGAGCATACCTAGAAACAAATACACCTTTCAATTCTCTTTTACATCTTTTTTTTTCTTCCCTTTGTGCCAGTACTTGGGCTTGAATTCAGGGCCTCGGTGCTATCCCTTAGCTTTTTCACTAAGGACTAGGGATCTGCTACATGAGCCACAGCCCCACTAGCCGTTTGCTCATTAATTGGAGATAACCATTGACTTTCTCACCCTGTCTGGCTTTGAACTACCATCCTGAGTAGCTAGTATTACAGGTGTGAGCCATCTGCACCTGGCAGAGGAAATCATTTCTTTTTTATTTATTTTTGGTTGGTCGTGGGGCTTGAACTCTGGGCCTGGGTGCTGTCTCTCAGCTCTTCAGCTCTAGGCTAGCGCTCTAACACTGAACCACAGCACCACTTCCGTTTCTCTGAGTGGTTTATTGGACATAAATAGACTTTCCTACCCAGGTTGGCTTTGAACCGTGATCCTCAGCCTCCTAAGTAGCTAGGATTACAGACATGAGCCAGTGGCACCAAGCTGAGGAAATTTTTATTTTATTTATTTTATTTAATTTTTTTACCAGTCCTGGGGCTTGATCTCAGTCCTGGGCACTATCCCTGAGCCTCTTTTGTTCAAGGCTAGCACTCTACCACTTGAACCACAGTTCCACTTCTGGCTTTTTCTGTTTATGTGGTACTGAGGAATTGAACCCAGGGCTTCATGCATGCTAAGCAAGCACTCTACCACTAAGCCACATTCCCAGCCTAAAGCAATTCTTTATTAATACGTTACTTGCAACTAGACTACTGTTAAATAAGATGATTGTGGTTATTAACAATGCAGTTGAGAATTCTTTCCCTGATCTGCACTTAAACCACAATAAAAATATCAGTCATGCTAGCACTATGACCAGTGCAGTCATAATTGCCTATCACCAAACTAAGTACAGGTTCTGTTCAGTTCCTTGTATCACAGTAAAATATGTTTTTCCTCCCATAGTCCCTCTATGACAAAGGATGAAGGTTAGTACTGAGCAGGTGAGAAGGCTCTCAGAGGCAGTATCCTGTACCAAGCTGAGTGCAGTTATCTTGGGGAATCCCAATTCAGTCCAGACATATCCACTGTACAACAAATACAGTGAAGAACCTACAGAAACCACGTGGAGAACCCAGGGCCAACCAGAGGAAGACTATCACCTGGCACTGTGCCAGGATAAGATCAGCACTCCCTCCTCCAAAGTGAAACTAGCCTCACACTCATAGCATAGTGTAATGGCAGAAAACGGGGTTCTATCTGGTCCCATGTCTACAGTATGCTTTCCAGCTTGTCTGCTTAATCATGATATAGGAGCATCGTGAGAACCACACAGAGTAACTGACAGGACTTTAGAAAGTACAAAGCCACCTTCCACAGAAAGCAAGGGTCAGTAGTGTCTTCACTGGGGTCAGCTAAGCTATGTCCTGGATCCCAATCCCTGCCTCAGTCTTTCATTCAATACATATCTGTTGAGCTGCACTATGTGGTGAAACTAGAAATAAAGCAGCAAGCCAAAAACACATATTCTCTCTTAGAGCAGATGTTTCAACGTGGCATTATTGACATTTGGGGCTAGGTAATTCTCTGTTAGGGGTGCTGTCCTGTGCTTTATGGGATATGTATTTGTATTCGTGGCCTCCATATACTAGATTCCAGGAGCAACCCCTCTCCTCAGTTATCACAATGAAGATCTCCATACATTGCCAAATGCACATGGACAAAACCATCTTCATGTAAGAAACAGTGCTTTAGGGCCAGAGATCTCTACTATTGGGACTTCTTTAAAAATTGGAATCTGGACAAGATCTCATTTGGACCAAGACTTCTGAAAACTAGAAGGAAAAAAAGGGGTGGGGGAGATGGAATTCTGTAAATAATCACATGGATTATAATTGTCATGTACAAATATACATGACCAGGGAGCTGAGTACCATTTGGTTCAGCTAGCTCACCACAGAGTGAGATAGTATAAGAAGATGCGAGATAAGAAATAAAGATCTAAGGGATGGGAAGGGGAAACAAAGGAGGAGGCTACAATGCTTGGTAAGAAACGTACTCATTGTCTTGCCCATGTAATTGTAACCCCTCTGTACAGCATTTTCACAATAAAAAAAAAGAAAAGAAATAAAGACCTTGGAGAATTTTAAGATAATTGAGGGCGGGGGATATAATTCAAAGGCAGAATGCATGCTTAACATATATAAGTCCCTGGACTCTGTCCCCAGCACCAAAAGAGGAATTGAGTGGAATACCACTTGGCCCCAGTCCTTTGGCCAACGGAATGCCCTGCAATGTCCCTCCTGATACTGATCTCACCTGTGTGCTACTAGCTCTGTCTAATGGTGACAGGCCAGAAGTTGAGACACTAGCACTGACTGATTTGTAGTTTGGTTTTTTGTTTGTTTGTCAATCCTGGAACTTAAACTCAGGGCCTGGGCACTGTCCCTGAGCTTCTTCTTTTTTTGGGGGGTCCGATTGTGGGGCCTGAACTCTGTGCCTGGGTGCTTTCCCTCAGCTCTTCAGCTCAAGGCTAGTGCTCTACCACTTGAGCCACAGCGCCACTTCCAGCTTTTTTTTTCTCCTGCTTATGTGGTGCTGAGGAATCAAACCCAGGGCCTCATGCATGCAAGGCAAGTGCTCTACCACCACCTTCCCAGCCCTCCCTGAGCTTCTTTTGCTCAAGGCTAGCACTCTACCACTTGAGCCACAGCATCACTTCTGGCTGTTTCTGTTTATGTGGTACTGAGGAATGGAACCCAGAGCTTCATGCATGCTAGGAAAGCACTCTACCACTAAGCCACATTCTCAGCCCTGATTTGTAGTTTTTAAAACCTTTCATGTGGTATTTTAGCTTCATCTCAACCTATCAAGGAAAGTAGGGAAGGTATTATTTTTCTGATTTCACACATGAGGAAGCCTAGACATTCCAAGGTGAAATAACTTTTGGCAATACAGCTCTGTGACTTGCCCAAAGTACTATGAATAGCTACTCCCAGAGAAGCCTAGACTTAGGTTGCCCTTGGTGGCCTGCAAGGAAGAACTAGGATCAGAACTGGGTATTTGAGTTTAAATACACACAACTATTTTTAGACCAGTTTTCCTGTCTCATGGGAACAAATGATACAGTGAATGGGAATAAGTTCTGCCAAAGACAATATGCCACAATATACTAGGTATTATTATTCCCATTGGCAGAGGGGTCAAAAGGACAGGAACTCATTGTAAAGTCAATTGACCTGTAATCCAAGAGGAAAAAAGGTGATAGGATTAAGCCCAGATGAGCCTATAGAATTTCAAAAAGGCATATATTTAAACAAACAGGCTTTTGTATTCAAGTGGAGAAATATTTGGAACTGTAGATTTGTTAAGGTGAACAGATATGGGTGCTAGGCTGGAACACTTGCCTAGCATTCATGAAGCACTGAGTCCAGTGCTCTGTGTGTTGTGTATTAGAGCTTCTCATGATTTCCAGTCCACCTGGGTGGTATTGGTTTGTATGTTACTCCTGGGCTTGAACTCAGGGCTTGAGCACTGGCCCTGAGCTTTTGTGCTTGAGGCTAGCATTCTACCACTTGAGCTACAGCTCTACTTTTGGGGTTTTTGGTGTTTCATTGGGAGTCTCATGGACTCTGCTTCCTAGGCTAGCTTTAGACTACAATCCTCAGATCTTAGCCTCCTAAGTAGCTAGGATTACAAGTCTGAGTCACCAGTGCTTGGCTTAGTCAACCTGTTTTAAGTTTAAAACAGAAAGAAAAATAAACTCCAGGAAATGGAAATCAAGAGGTCTTTTCCTTGTTGTTGTTTTCACTTTTTCTTTTTTTATTTGGTCATGGGGCTCGAACGCTAGGCCTGGGCACTGTCCCTGTGCTCTTCAGCTCAAGGTGAGCACTCTACCAGCTTGAGCCCAGTTCATCTTTTCTCTTTGTCTTGTTTGCTCGTTTATATGTCTTTGGGAGTATAAGGGGAGGCACAAAAAATGGAGGTACAAAGGGTAAACAAATGCAACAGTACAGTCATTACTAGACACTATGTTAAAAATGAACTATGTAACTTGTGGGAGGGGAAAACTGGAGAGAGCGTGGGAAAGGGTGACACTGGCCAAAAAGAAATGTACTGTGATGCCGGGCACCGGTGCTCACGCCTGTAATCCTAGCTACTCAGGAGGCTGAGATCTGAGGATCAAGGTTCAAAGGCAGCCCCGGCAGGAAAGTCTATGAGACTCTTATCTCCAATAAACCACTAGAAAACCAGAAGTGGCGCTGTGGCTCAAGAGGTAGAGCGCTCGCCTTGAGCTGAAGAGCTGAAGGACAGCGCCCAGGCCCAGAGTTCAAGCCCCACGACCGACAAAA